CTCTTTGTGCTCGAGAGTCCTCATAGCCAAATATAGCACAAATAGAAATATTTTGCAATCAGAGGCTATGAGGGCATGCTTATGTTTATCTTTTATTCGTTTTATTTTACTACTTTAAAAACTATAGTAGAGGCTGTGAAACCGCGTCTACACTCAGTTAAATTAGCTACCTTTGCCCCTAATACTAAATCGTTCGCATCTTCATAGAGTCCAACTTGCCGCTAGCAAATCCACAAAATCAGAAAACTAACTGGCGCAATGATAGAGGAAAGTGACGTACGAGGCATAGGACTTGGACTTGATGGACGAAGAAATTGAATGACGAAAGGAATCTGCGTAGATAGAGATAGAGGTGTTAAGATAGAGAGGTGTTAAGATAGAGAGATGTGTGAAGATGTCAGCGTGGTTGTTGACGTGCACTCCCTTCGTTTTATTTTATTTAAGTTTAACCAAATTTTATAGAATGATTTAAGAACACTAAATTAGTTTCGTTAAATCTAATATTGAATATATTTTGATAGCATGTTTATTTTGTATTGGAAATTTTGATATGTTTTTCTATTAAATTAACTAAATTTGAAGAAGTTTAATTTTGAAAAAAAAGTTAAAATGATCTTATAATATGAAACAGAGGTGTAATAAATTAAAACTACTACTACTTGTGACAATCTGAAGCCGAAAATTGCTGATAATTATCTCGTTACTACTACAACTACTGACTAGACGGCTACTAAATTTGCTTAATTTGCCACTTATGGTAAAGTGTGAGTATTTTGCAAGTACAAATATGAACGCCGACCTATATATACGATGTTGTTCTTACAACGAAGTGAACGAACTACGCGCGTCTTCGCAAGCATTCAATACAGGTGGCCATGGCAGTTGGTGTTTGTAAGACACACCACCTAGGTGTTCGTCCGTGGCGCTCTTGCGTTCCACGACCTCCATGGTGTCGAGCTCGACGGTGAACAGCCACCTCCCGTGCGCCGGCCACAGCACGACGTACTTGCCCGAGACCTCCCGGGAGACCGGGAGGATGGCGATGACACCGCTGTCGCCGTCGCAGTCGCCGGAGTCGTCGTTCTTCCGGTCGTCGGCGTGCGGTGGTGCACGGGTGATCTCCGTCAAGCTGACGCGATGCAGGAGCTCCCGGCACCCGTCATCGATCTGCCAGCGCGAGAACACCCTGAGGCGAGCTCGTCGGGGAACAAGCCGGCGAAGCGCGACGAGAGGCGGTCCTCGAACAGGCGGGAAGGCTCCGCCTCCGGGATCGACGACTTGGAAAAGGTGGTGGTCCGTCGTGCTTTGACGACAACGACGATGACGGCGACCAGCGGAGGCCGGCCAGGAGGGCGAGGAGAGAGAAGCTACCGTTGTTGTATACGGCGGGGTCAAGGTGTAGCATCCCTGTTCTTGATCGCCCAGTACACATCAACCGCCTTGCGCTGCCGGCGATGCGCAGGGACTCGGCGCCGCCGTCGAGACGGAGGCTGCTGTGCGCTCTGATCTCTTCTTGATGCTCTAGCGGCGCTGCCAGTCGGACCAGTAGAAGACGCGGCCCACGGCGGTGCCCCACGTCGTCGGACATGCCGGAGAACGGCCTCGTAGAGCGCGCAGATGACGGTGAACGTCGACATGCCGACGCGGACTATGTGGGTAGTCCATGTCGCGTGCGTTCGTGCTTCAGGAATGCGCCGATGCAGCGGTGGAACCTTATCTCCGGCAACGGCGGGACCACGCGGTGGCAGACAGGCTTGCACCCGATCCTCCTCTTGGCGAGGAGGACGAAGCTATCCACGCCGTCGACGAGCTTCCACGACCTGGTGCCGCCGTCGGGTAGGAAGTCGATCGAGGAAGAAGTGCCGGCTGTCAACGCTGGTGCACGACGCCATGGCGCTGGCGTGGCCACTGGTAGAAGGAAGGGATTGTCGGTGACGCAGTAGCTAGCTGCCGATGGCGTAGGCCTCGGTGCTGGTCATCCGACGATGATGGTTGCGGAATCGGTGGAGGAAGCCGCGGTCGGCGATGACTGCGTGCACGCGGCCGCGGCGCGGATGAGGCACGGGTGCGTGCGGCTGTTTGGATCATCCTATCTTGTGTTGGGTCGGCTCGTGTGGTGCTGTGGGCCACATGACGCGGCCCTCCCTCTGCTACCATCTAGCCCAACGACAAAACTGCCATAGATAGAATCCGACCCGGCCCATCGATCCAATGAGCGTGTGCCCCCAGCGCATGCTAAGGGCCTGTTTGGAACAGCTTCAGCTTCAACTCCACCCCTCCTGAAGCTGGAGCTCAGCCAAACAGTTTCAGCTCCACCAAAACTGGGAGTGGAGTTGGGTGGAGCTCTCTCACAAAATATACTAGAGTTGTGGAGCTGGGTTTAGGCAGTTCCACAACTCCACTCCAGAGGGTGAAAGCAGCCATAGCTGGAGCTTGTTGGAGATGCAAATATGCAAATGATACACATCATTCAGGGGTGCATCGACAAGATCAACTGCGACGTTTGTGTCGTGATCGTGAACAAGAACAATCTTGTTTGGGTTTATTCAGTCTTATAATCTTCAGAAAATTTTTGTTGGATAGTCCTCTAAGCTCTAAAATTTTATAATGTCGTAAACTCAATATACATATACAAATTTTGCTTTAAGTATAACACAAATAAGAAGTTCGTTCCCACATATGTCCAGATCTCAGTTAACTCAATACAACGGTCAAGGAGTCGTCTTCAACCTCTAGCCATGGGAACACATGGAAGGCAAGAATAGAGGGAAAGGTGGCAGCTAGGCCTACCGGCAATAGTGATGACGATGACGAGCTCCTCGGTGATCCCTTCATCTTCGACATCTCCAACGATGCCTTACTTCGGTAGCTAGAGTACCTACTCCTCTGTCCCAAAAAGAATCAAACTCTAGGGATGAATATGGACACACATGTGTCCAGATTTATGCCTAGAGTTTAATTTTTTTTTGGGACGGAGGGAGTACAGATTAGGGTTAAGGTTTTGGGTGGGTGTTAGAGGTAGTGGTGAGAGTTGGGGAGAGGGAAGGGGCGTTAGGGTTGTCTATTGAATCACCTAGGTTTAGATCTAGTCGGGTTGTCTCTATTGGTTTGATGAACGACATTGTAGATGAAAGAGAGAGGGTTTAGATACCGACCGGTTGAGGTGTTCGTGGAGGAAGAGGTGCTGGACATCGTCGTTGTCGTTGTGGCTCGACGTGGACGGCGGCGACGGTGTGCTTGGTGCCGATGACGGTGATGCAGCGGCGGTCGCAGGCAGTGACGCGGTTGCGGCAACGATGGTGTTGACGATGAGGCGTGGCGCGGTGGTGGACTTCCCGTCACTGGCTGCGCCCCCTCGAGATCGGTTTAGGGTTTGTGGGGTGGAGTGGTGGTGGTGACTTACCTCGTGTCTTGAGCCGTCCCGTCCTCCACCTCTCTTTATATGGCGCAGGGTGACGGGGGCCCACCAGCCATTGGGTTGGGCGCCCCCAATCAAGGCGCAGGTCAAGGCCCCCTTGAGCCGTTGGGCTCAAGGGGAGGGAGATCCATCTAACAAGGGGTGGTTTCCCCTTAGAGAGATGGCCTTGGGTGGCTGGTGGACAAACAACGAGATGGGCAGCCAGGGTGCCATCGGAGTTGCGGGGATGGAAGCCGGTAGTGGGCGGGGTTGGTGAAAGGGGCAAGGGAGGCCATCAGGTCAGTAGGCGGTGGTCAGTGATAGCGAATATGCCTGAGACAGGGAAAAGATGACATCGCCGCCAGATAGGATAGGGAGGAAGAAAGAGGGGGTGGCTGGCCTAGCAGGCCTCGCCATTAATGCCTCGCGACCAGTTGGCAACGCCAGGCTTACATCTATTTGGTTTAGATATTATGGACTGGAATCAGAAACCATGCAATATAATGAAATACCAATCCCCACACCCGCATCACTCTACCAGCTATATGGCACCTATATGCATTGCTACCGCAAGCTCTCCCCCAACCCTGCATGAGTCTCCAAGGTGACCACTCCCTGCCTAGTAAATCTTCTACTGCCTGGATCTAGTAGGAAGAAGGGCGATTCCGAGGTCAAGGCATGGGAAATCGTCAAGTGGTGGACTGCAGGTGCTGAGGAGGTCCCGAGGTACATAGAGAAAGCACCATGAGCTTGTTGGCTTTGCCCAAGAACTCACTCACACTCACGAACGCAACACCGATGAGGGAGACGAAGCACACAAGAATTTTTCCTGCGACGAACGCCGCGAAGCCAAATGCTCCTGTATCTTGGCACTGTTATTTCACTGGGCTTAGTTGCTGAAACATGAAGGAGTACAAGGGCCTCTTATAGACCGGGGACACACCAGGAGCTAGCCTCCATGCCGGCCGTTGAGCCACGTTCCGCAGAATTCGCTCAGCCATTCCGTGAGCCACTGCTCGACCTGGTCATGGTAGCTTCCTCCGCAAGAATCGATGCCACGCACACCACGCACTCCGACGACTCGATCGAACAGCAACGGCCATGCAACAACCTTGCGCACACCCTGCACATGAACCTAGACTCGATGCGACGTGCACAGCGCGACACACACACACACACTGACTCAACCACGCCAGGAACACACCATGACGTGTTTATTTCCAACAATCTCCCCCTAAACGCGACATGGCGCACTTCGTTATCACAGCAGCGTCGTCTCCTCGTCAACGTTACAGAGCAGCGCCTGTTCCTTCTTCTTCCGCGGACAGTTCCTCGCCATGTGGCCACGTTCTCCGCAGTCGAAGCACTTTCCTCAGTAGTGGCTCCTACCGCGCCCCAAGCTTGTGCTGTTGTCGTCGTCATTGTCATCCTCACGGTCCCCACCACGGTCATCACCTTTCTCGCCATTGCCATGGCGCGCCCCACTGCCTGTGTGTTGCTTGCCGCCGCGCTGACGCCTCCTAGCCTCCCACTGCTCCTCAGTGAGAAGTAGCTGCCCGCCATGGACCTCTGTTTGATCTTCAGCGTCGGCGTCCTCTGCCACTTATAGCGGCCCAACGATCTCCTTGACGGACATATCATCCATGTCCACGAGCATCTCAATTGCCACCGCGACTTGCTTTAATCTCTTCGGGACCACGCGTAGGACCTTCTTCACCACGTGGCTCTCTTCCATCTCCTCCCCGAGGTCGCGCAGGCTCGCGATAAGCCCGTTGATGCGCATCGCGAAGTCGCCGACGGTCTCCCCGTCGCGGAACGTCATGTTCTCAAACTCCTTCATGAGGCGTTGCACGCTCGCCGACTTCACGCGGTCGTCGCCGGCACGCATCTTCTTCACCAAGTCCCACGCCTCCTTCGCTGACGTCTTCACGGCGAGCCCGGCCTTCATCTCCAATGGCACTGCACACAAGATGGCAGCCAATGCTCGCCGATCCTTGGCGCGGTTCTTGGTGACCGCCTCCACCGTGTCCCACAACTCTAGCGCCTCCAAGCTCACCCGCATAACCAAGGCCCACTGATGATAGTTAGCCCTGGTTAGCATCGGCAGCTCCACGATGCTGGAATTGGGCACGACGAGCTCCACGGCGGCACCGGAGGTCCAGCCATCTCCGCCCTCGCCCTTTGGACTGTCACCAATCTTCATCATCCGGCTCTGATACCAAATGTTGGCTTTGCCCAAGAACTCACTCACACTCACGAACGCAACACCGATGAGGGAGACGAAGCACACGAGAATTTTTCCGGCGACGAACGCCGCGAAGCCAAATGCTCCTGTATCTTGGCACTGTTATTTCACTGGGCTTAGCTGCTGAAACACGAAGGAGTATAGGGGCCTCTTATAGACCGGGGACACACCTGGAGCTAGCCTCCATGCCGGCCGTTGAGCCACGTTCCGCAGAACCCGCTCAGCCATTCCGTGAGCCACTGCTCGACCTGGTCATGGCAGCTTCCTCCACAAGAATCGACGCCACGCACACCACGCAGTTTGACGACTCGATCGAACAGCAACGGCCACACAACAACCTTGCGCAAACCCTGCACCTGAACCTAGACTCGACACGACGCGCACAGCGCGACACACACACACACACACACTGACTCAACCACGCCAGGAACACACCATGACGTGTTTATTTCCAATAGAGCTGTCATTGTTGACCACATCGATCACTACCAACTATACTGCTTTGCATGTGAGAGCCCTCTCCCTACAAAAAACTCATTCTTTTCTTTTCGTATCCCCGAAAAGTTGATTGCATCGACAGAGCTTGAGATTGGTTGTTTACCTTCCTAACCATTGTCAAGGATTCGTCAGTTGTGCAAATGGTTCTACCTGACCTATTACGGATGAAGGGTTCTGTAGTTGTATGTGTTGGTTAGGAACAGGGATGACTGATGATAGATGTGGACCAATGTTGTCGGTTCATCATCTTTGTTCTGTTTTTCAACACCACACCCTAGGCATGTAAATACCTAGAGTCCATACACTCCACACAAACCCCGCCCCGCGCTCCCCTGCCCCTAAACCCGAAATTGTTTCCTTCTCATCTTCCCCTGTTTATTCTTTTCTCCCCTCATCTTCCTCCTCTTCCCCCGCCCCTCTCTCTCCCCTCATCGCGGGATGCGGAGGCGGCGGCGATGTGGGACACGAAGCCGGTGGTGGCGTGGCTTTCTCATCTTCCGTCCCCTCTTTCTCTCTGTCTCGGGCGTTGTCGGAAGCGGCTGGGGGCGAGGTTGGGCAAGCAGAGGCGGCTGCGGTGGTAGTTGCGGGCACGGCTAGGCGAGCGACACATCCGGGATGGGGCACTGCGGCATGCGGGGAGCAGTGGCAAAGCACAGGGATGGCGCGGCGGGTGGTGGGCGGTGCCGAGGAGGGCGTTGGAGGGGCGGGCTACGCCGACGAGTCCACCGACCTCTCGAGCTCCGCGTCAACGGCGACGAGTCCTCGGCTTAGATGGGCGGCAGACACTGTCGAGGTCGTCGGGGAGGGCGCGGCGCACGTGGTAGGAAGGGCAAGGCAGGCAGCACTGAGGACATTAGAGACAGCATGCGTCTCTCTCTCTCTACCTCGTTCTCAATCTCTCTGTGTGGCGCCGTCGGGAGAGCGGACCCCGAGGCCGGCGGCGGGCGTGGCTAGGGTGTTGAGGGCGTGTGGCGCAGCCCACGATGGAGCTCACGGGAAGGAATCGACGAGCCCGCTGCCGTCTCGAGCTCCCTTGACAACCCTCCTTCTTCCTTCTTCTGCGCGGCCGGCGGTGAAGGTCCACCCCCGACTCTCTCTCACAGGCACCGTGAACGGTCGCCGTGCTCATCCCCCACCATTGTTTCCTGCACGGCGATGTCCTCCGTCACGTGCTTCTCCCTCCCATCCGCGCCCGCCGCAGACAGAGCCACCCAGCCGCAGCGCCCGCTCGCTGCTCGCCGCTGACTGGTTCCCTCTCCCTGCCTCATTCGCCGCCACTCACCGTCGGCCGGAGTCACATTGCCGCATCCACGTCTGCTCGCCTCCAAGCACAAAGAGAAAGAGGACTTCGTGGCGAGCGTGTGCACGAGTCGGCCGGCGTTGTCGCGCGCTTCCCACTCCCGCCGCGCTCGCCGCTGACTGGTCCCCTCTCCCCGCGTCTGCTCGCTGTCGCCCGGAGTCACACTGCCGCGCCCGCGTCCGCTCGCTATCGGCTGGAGTCACACTGTCGCTCTCGCGTTCGTTCGCCTCCAAGTATAGAGCGAGAAAGGGGTGGTTTAATATGACATGTGGGCCCTATATTTTCTTTTTTTTTCTTTTTGCTGATTGGATTTCCACGTCGGTGCCACGTGTACGCCACGTAGGATAAAAACCGCTTTGGACTGAGTCAGGGGGGTAATTCGTCCGGTATCAATAGTTCGAGTTTTAATATGTCTAGTTTTGTGGTTTAGGGGGGTAATTCGTACCGTCGCAATAGTTGAGAGGGGTAATTCGTACTTTTTCCAAAAAGATAAACGGTTCTTTTATGGCCAAGAATGTTGGCCCAAAACTGGGAGACATTGGCCCAACAGGGCGAATCCTTGCCACACCACAAAAGCTAACTCAAGAGTTTTTCCAAAAAGATAAACAATTCTTTTATGGCCAAGAATGTTGGCCCAAAACCGGGAGATGTTGGCCCAACAGGGCGAAATCTTTGCCACACCACAAAAGCTAACTCAAGATGTGCGGGACTCCCCCCACTTTTAAGTTGGTTCACATTAGTACTCCTCAGCACTGACCGACCCCATGTACGGGCACATACGGGACTTACACCCGCAGTCCACTAACCGGCCCTACACATAGGCACATACGGGCCTCACACCCGCGGTCCACTGGGCTTTGGGCTTACACCACTCTAAGGCCAAGAATGTTGGCCCAAAACCGAGAGATGTTGTCCCAACAGGGTGAAATCCTTGCCACACCACAAAAGCTAACTCAAGAGGTGAGGGATCCCCCTCCCCACTTTTAAATTGGTTCACATTGGTACCCCTCAGCACTTACCAACCCCACATACGGGACTCACACCCGCGGTCCACTGACCGGCCCCACACATGGGCACATACGGGCCTCACACCCCCCCACTTTTAAGTTGGTTCACATTGGTACCCCTCAGCACTGACCGACCACACATACGGGACTCACACCCGCGGTCCACTGACCAGCCCCACATATGGGCACATACGGGCCTCACACCCGTGGTTCACTGGGCTTTGGGCTTACACCACTCTGAGTGTTTACAAGTAGTAGAGATTGTGTGTTTGGCTCTGATACCACTTGTTGGTCCAAAACCGGGAGACGTTGGTCCAACCGGGAGAAATCTTTGCTTCACCCTAAAAGCTAGCTCAAGAGGTGAGGGAGTCCCCCACTTTTAAGTTGGCTCAACTCCCCCTAAATAAGCAATGTGTGACTATTCCCAATAAAGAAGAATAATAGTTGAACGCTAACTTTGCTGTGCAAGCAAATGATATGCACAGTACCACTAATCATAAAAATAAGATATGAAAAAAACTTTGGAGAAACGGCAGGAACATTCTAATATTTGCTACAAATTTTGCATTGTTCCATAAGACCATGCAAGCTCGTACACATTATTGTTGTTTTTCAACATAGAAAAAGAAGTGCATAGCAATGGATGCTTGAACATATAAATATCAAGAAAATATGTACTGCAAACCTGAAACTACTATAGGATCTAAAAAGGATGTCCACGTCTAATTTTTCTCGGAGTAAATTTTTACTGATGGTAACATAGACAAATATCAGACGCCCTTTTCTGAATCCTATAATAGTTTTTATGTTTGCACTACATATTTTCTCTAAATATCATCTCTAAATATCATGCCTTAATATGACAAACACTTCACCAAAACACATGTTGAACCAAAAAATAAATACCACATCTATGTACATATATATCCAGCTTCTTAGTTCATCTTGCCGATGGACCAAATGTGGATACCACATCCACGGCATCATTTGTTGGGCCTGCCCTATTCCTATCCTCACGAGCTTCTTCCAATGCAAGGCATTCCTTCAACTGTAAAACAACGGTGGACATAGTTGGCCTTTGAATAGCAACATCTGTTGTGCACAGCATTGCGGTATCCACCACCTTCCACATAGAGCTAATGTCGTAGGAATCATTAAGCCGTGCATCGGCAACTAAGCCGATACTACCGGAGGTAACCTTACGTTCCACACGCTGGACGATGTGACCATGGCCAGCTAGTATCGGAAGCTCACCGGTGACTACCTCCAGTAGAACAACACCAAAGCTATAAACATCACTGCTCTCAGTTAGCCGTCCGGTCTGATAGTACCTAAAAATATGTGCCTCACGTTAACGAAACTACAAAATTTGCTTGGAGTGATTAACATGAAAGGTGTTTGCAGTTGAGCTTGGTCACCAATTTACCATATTACTTTTTCAAACGTAGGAAACTAAACGAGTTATAAAATCTAAATTAAACTATTAATAAGTTACTCATCAGAATAGATAAAAAATGTACAAATATATAGTAGTATATAGACAAGAAGACGTACTCTGGGTCAATGTAACCCACTGTTCCAGCTGCGGTGACTGATATGTGAGTCTGCGAGTCACTAATATACATTTTAGAGAGCCCAAAATCCGCTAGTTTAGCTTTCAGATTTTCACCCAAGAGAACATTATTGGTTTTCACATCCCCGTGAATTATTGGCAAATTGCAACCCTTGTGTAGGTATTCCAGGCCTACACACGCACATATATATCAATATTAATATCCAATCCAAGAAAACTATAAATAAAAGAAATGTGCATGAACTATCAAATTCCAGATTGTATTTGTCTTCTGTAGCAGCATACCTTGTGCAGCTTCAAGCATGATTCGCACACGTTTTGCCCAGTTCAAGGTTTCACCAACATCACGTTTACCTAAATATATATAATGTGCACATTGACAGTTAGAATAACTGTACTATATATACCAAGCCCTTCATTCACATGTAAATTTTGAGGAAGTTTCACAAATTATATTGCATGGGTGCAAAATTAGTCAATATTGGAGTAATATGACTGTCCTTATAAAAATATATAATGCTATGTATCAATGCGATGAGTTCATAGAAATACGCATTCATCGATAACGCGTTGTTACTATTTCAGATACAGACATTTTCAGGTCAGTACCATAAACTTTGAAAGTTTGTTTCAACAATAAGGTTCATAATTGCATAATTATACTCATGAAATTTAAAACAGCGAAATAAGTTCTCTAAGTTTGTAATGGACAAACCTCTCAGATGATCACATAGACTGCCACTAGGCATGTACTCATAGACCAGTGCTAAATAGTGCTCTTCCCAGCAGTATCCAACCAAAGAAACTAGATTTCTGTGATGCACCTTTGTCAAGCTCTGGACCTATGTAATGAGAGGTACAATACATAGATATCTCAGTGTGAATGTGACTCGATAAGATTCCAATCACACATGTGTCATCGGTAATTTGGATTCAATGATATCCTTAATTTTTCGATCAGTGACTGAAATTTGGTACCTCAGCTAAAAACTCATCAAGCCCATGCAATGATGATTCGGATCGCATCTTGACAGCAACCTCAGAGCCATCTTCTAAACAACCATAATACACATGTCCAAAACCTCCTTGTCCAATAAACCGTTGAAAGTTAAGAGTAAAATTCTTCAGTTCCTCATATGTGAATTGGCGACTTCCATTTATTGGCAAATGGCTCCAGTGATCTGTTGTACTTCCTGGAGCTTTCTTGGGATCCGGTACTCTGGGAGGATCAAATGTAGAAACTGGTTTTTGCATAAACCAGTTATATGAAATTAAAGAAATACCGAATGAGGTTAACCCTGTTGATTTATATATTTTTTTTCAAAACATGTACAGCTTATAGGAGCATATGTAGATCCTACACACCGTTGTGCTTTCCTTTTGCTCTCCAGAGAAGAAATGCAAGAAGTATAGCCACTGCCAATACGGGAGTAACTATTGAAATTGCTAAGATAGTTGTTGATCTGTTTGTTGACCGAGACGAAGAGGTTCTATTGTTGCAGATATCTCCGTCAGACGTGTAACTAAAATTGTCCAAAACCATTAGTTCAGAATTACTGTTAGTGCAAAAAAAGAATCTTAAACGTGTTCACTTGCCTAGAGATCACACAAACAATATTCCCACCATTTGGATAATATCAATTGTGGAAAATGAACAGGAATATAATCAAACCTGAAAATGTATAATCCTGCAATATTTTTACAGAGCGAGTCTGGAACTGGCCCATTCAGTTGGTTACCTGACAAATTTCTGTCAAAAGTAAAATAAAATTCATTATACATTAATCAAATATATTCATGGAATTAAATATTTAGAAGGGAGGGCTGTAACCTGTAAGACGAATTGTTGAAACATTTGCACAATTTTAAGTGAGGATAAATAATGTGTGGAAACTTACTTCAATTAATTTTTACTTTGAATAAGATATAAAGAGCTAACTATCAAAACTGTTCGACATATCCTACTGGCAGTAGGAAACGTTGGTTTTCCAACAAGTAGGTTTTGTGGCAATTATACTGGGCTCAGTTATCCTATGTTTGATAGGAAATATCATCCTGAAAATTAAACAGAAGAAGGGGAAACATATTCAATGAGCCAAGTCGACCCATCCGTTCAACAACACCGGCTAATTCAGGGCCTGTTTAGTTCGCGAAAAGAAAATTTTTGGGTGTTTGACCAGATGTCGGAAAGACTTTTCGGACACGAATGAAAAAAATAATTTCATAACTCGCACGGAAACCGCGAGATGTGATACTTATCAGTGTGTGGTTCATGGCTAGAACGGGCAACAGTAACAATTTTCAGCGATATATTATTCAAATACGAATCAGGGTTTTTATAATGAATGTCGGTTCTAGCTATGAAACAACACTAACAAGTGTCTCATCTGTGTCGGTTCTAGCAACGAACCAGTACCGACCGACCGTATTAATGCTAGTTTTGGAAAGGAACGTAACTTTATTATACAAACTTACACTAAGACAAATTTTGTATGACAGTTATAGCACACATTGAGATCTACAAATTTGTAGCTGACAACTTATTTTAAGTCATTTGAGTGTCCAATCCATGATTCAAATCTAAAGAGGAAGGGTCAGAATGAAAACTGTCCGTACCCTTCAAACAGAAGTAAAAAGAAAAGTGTTTACTCACAAATAGTTGAGCGCGGTGAGAAAAGTGAAGTTAATAGATACCACCCCTTGCAAGTTGCTCTGGGAGAGATCACTGCATGACAACCAAAAATTTCAATTACTGTAACAAGGACAAGGCTAAAGTTGTGTAATAACTAATTAGATAACCTTCTATGTTTTGCTACAGGATATAAGAATGAATAAATGTTAAATGATGTAGAAATGATAGATGTGTTTGGTAGAAATATTGTAAAAATAATATGAGGAATGATGATTTAGCATGTTATATGTTGAACTTTAAAATATAATAATTTGTAGATGATGTATGTAGTTATATTCATGTTTTTGTATGTACTATGCATGGTGACCTTTTTAATGTTTAGTGGGTTAATATGGTCTACTCGAATGTTAACTAATAATTGCTATGCTTGTATGCTGAGTTTTAAGTGTCTAGTGGCTTATGACTTAATGTAAGGTATAGACATATTAACAGTACTATACACAATATATCTCTAGAATTAGTAACACTCACAGTGATATTATTCTTGAAGTGTTATCATCACCTGCAGTGCTGCATTTGATGCCATCCCAAATAAATTCGGACGGGAAACACGGATCACCCATCCAGTTTTTCTTGATCCCATACTCATATTTAATGTCCATGATTGCGTCAACTAACAGAGGAATAGAACAAACAAGTTAAGTTATGTTGATAGTACAATTGGAAGCATGCTTATGGTTTGAGCTATTGTTGCTATTAGAATTTGTATTAAATATGTGTATAAAGTCGGTTACAGTTTAAGACTTACAGTTGTATTAAGTATAGGAATGAGTAAATTCCCTATATACCCTTCAAAACACACTCAATCCCTTTCATACCCCTGAAATTTACCCAATCTCGTCTATACCCCTGAATTTTAACTTTAACTTGATCCTTTGCATACCCCTACCGTTATATTTTTCTTTATTTCACTTTTAAGTTTGGTTGCAAATATCTTTTATGTCCTTGATAATTTAGGTTTGAATATAAGCTTGAAAAACGATTGAAAATTTTGTTTAAGTGCATAGTATGTGCATTTTATGAAACTAATGAGACTAAATAATTAGTGCAGAAAATTTTGACATAAAATTTGAAAATAAAACAAATGTAGTAAATTTAAAATTTTTATTTGAAATTTTATTTGGACAATGGATTTTTTTATCGGGAGCATTGATAAAAGAATATCGTGGGCATTGGTAGTCCTATCTTTGTATGAATGCTCATTATTTTTTATAACTTAAAAAATAAGATAAATACATATTTTTTATTTATTATCTAAAAATACATTTTGTCTTAAATAATGTATCGCACAACAAACTCAAAACTATAATAGTCTCATACGATAAACTTTTAAATTTTTAATAATTTAATTCATAAATTTCTATGTTCATCCAAAGGATAAATTTGTCATTTTTATAGAAATTAGACAATCAACTGACGAGAGAGACATGGATGGGATCAAAATAAAATTTTACAGGTATACAAGGAAGTAAACAAAATTTAGAGCTATAGAAGAGATTATAGATGGCCATAAGGCCCACCCGGCCCTGACCGGCGTGCCGGCCCATGGGCTGCACCTCCGGTCCAGGCACGGTCCACCAGCAGTCAGGCCGTGTCGTGCCGGCCCGAACGCACTATGGCCCATCGTGCCTTTTTTAAAACAAGTCTATTTTCCCCCTCCTTTTTGGGCTGACACACACACACACACACACACACACACACACACATATATATATATATATATATATAGCTAAAATAAGTCTATAATATGTCTATTTTTAGTCCCTATTCATTGTGTGCCGGGCCTGGCCTGCCGACTCATCGTGCCGTGCCAGCCTAGCGTGCTGGTGGGCAAGCCCAGGCGTGGCTCGGCGGTTGGGCTAGGCCGGAATGGGCCCGACCCTAAGTCAGGCCGTGCCGTGCTTGGGCCGGGCCAAAATGCCGTGACATGGGCCGGGCCGTCGGGCCTTGGGCCTTATGGCCATCTATAGAAGAGATTAGCTAAAATTTTAGGGTATACAAGAAATTTTTTCTATAGGAATATTGTAAGAATCAAACTCTATAGTATATGGTGACTTAGCATGGCGAGGAGCCACTGCCGATGGCGTTCGACCAAGGGTCGTTGTAACTCTGATATGCTATAATATGCTGGATCGGGGAGGAGTATCCGTAATCAGTGCCCCGGAGATGTAGGCTTCGGCTGAACTCCGGTTATCAAATATCATACTGGTAGCATCATCAGTTTTGGATCTTCTATGGTGTTTTTCCGTGTTTAGTTTCCGATGATGATTTTGGACCAGTTTTATAACAGCTGCCAACCGATTCTTGCTACTGCTGGTTTTCTGCCGGCAATCCCTGCTTCCGTTTCTGCTGCTGATCAAGTTGTTCCTCTTGCAGCTGCCTGTGCTGTTGCTACCGACAGGAGGGGGAAGAAGAGAAGAAACGCTAAAATAAGTGGTGCTGACTGGGTCGGAAAACACGTAAAGCAGATCGCTTGTCTTAACCTCGGATTTATATAGGCTTAATCTGATTTTTCGCCTTAACATAAAAGTTAAATTCTTATTGTTGATAATGTATTACAGAAAAAATTAATGGTGCTTTGAAAACACCTTATATTTGTTTTGAGAGGCAAGTGGAGTGGTGGTGTGGGGTTTGCATATAGCTAGAGCAGCAAACGTGGTTTATAAGGACATGGATCCTCTGCAGCACCGCATTTGCAGTTGCAGTGGCTAACAGGTGGACCCGGTCCTACATGTCAGCGGCTACTACTGTAGCTGCAGTACTGCAGACAATCCTCACTGGGTTTATAAGTGAACATCATTGTTCTTATTATTTGATATATGATAGATCAAGTTCATGACCTATTTGATAGCATATATAGCTCTTTTTTTTCTACTATAACGAGATAAGTAGTAATGAAAATTTATGAACTATTTTACGGTGTAGATCGTCAAAATAAAAAATATTAAAGATGCCCGCGCGAATGCACGGGCTTTCATACTGTCTTAAAAATGAATAATATATTTTTCTAAAAAAAGTGTATTATCACCCAAAGAGAAATGAAGAGAGTGCTCTTACAGTCTTTGTGGAATGTCCTTGGACTATCATGTGTGATGACAGTATAGATCTCCATCGCATTGAGCATCGGAGGCAGCGCCGAGGCAGCTGTTCTCCTGAGGACGAGGTTGTAATTGCCATCATCAGCTCTGTACCCATCGGAGCTGTATACAGAGGAAGAGTCCAGGGGCGAAGGGCTGAACATGAGCGACCGGCCATTGGATCCGATCGGGATGTCGTTGAGTGTGACATTGAACTGCCTGGGCTGAATCTTCTGAAAGTCGGCGAAGTGAAGGAACACCATGTATTCGCTCGACGACCTGGTGTCTTGCCATGCCACGGTGAGCGTCGTGTCGTTGCCACCGGGCGTCGTGATCGCTGTCTGAAGAACAGGGAGGGGCACCTCGAAGCTGTTCTCCGACTGGATTTTTTCTTGGGTGGAAATGTCTGTCGATCCTGGGTTTCCAGTCCCTTTCCAGATGCGGTCGTGCTCATCGGCAGGGTACCTTCATGGCATGGAGAAATATATAATCCTGTCATTACAGGACAAATATTGGACCATGATCATATATACTTAACTATATGAACTGCATCTAATGAGGAAAATATAACTTAACTTACCTAACATCAGCGTTTTCAATTTCCATTTCGGCCAAAATTTTGGCCATTTAGGTTCTACCGAATTTCCCGAAATTTCAGTATTTTTGGCACTTTTTGGACCAATTTTTTTAATTTTAACATAATTTGACTAAAATTTGACAAAATTTGCAAAAAAATTACAGAAAAATAAAAAATTACGGCAGAGATAATCACTTGACGGCTGGTTCGCGGGGGGGGGGGGGGGGGGTGGGGGTGGTTCCAAAATTACCGAATTTCGAACCAAAATTGCAGTTATTGCCTAAATTGTTCCTACCTCTTTCATACGGTGGTAAGGCCCACCTCCATACTTATGGGGTTGGGCTGGACATTGAATTTTTTTATTTGTTAACCTTTTTAATTTCTAATTTTTCAATAAACTCTTTTAAAATTTATTATTTTTCAATAAACTCTTTCAAAACTTATTTCCAAAATCTGATTCTTGTGGCCATGCCAGCTTGCCTGGTATGGCAAAATAACACTAACACTGACATGTCACCTACGGCGAACATGATAGTTTTATGTTGTCACGCCAACGAAAGCGGCGTGGCCAAATAACGTTATCATGCCAGTAAGACCAATTGTGATCTTCAAAATATGTTTTGGAAGGGTTTATTTTTAAAAAATTAAAATTAAAAGGTTAAAAAAATTTCCTGGGCATTGGCCCATTAATTACCAAGCATGGTTACAATTATAATGGTTTTAATAAATTGATCTATACATTTATATATATACAAAATACAATTGTATTTATTCAAAGAAAATAAAGAGTTATATGTTAAATCTAATTTTGAATCTAGTGGTTTGCAAAATTGTATGTGAAAATCTTCTAGTTTGTCTTAAAATGTGAAACAATTATATGTTTGAAATTCGTGCATACTTCAATCATCAAAATGCTACTGGATTTTGCCCAATTGTATAAAAAAAACTATCTAAATTCCACCCGGGGCAAATTAATTAGACTGTTTGAAATGATGGGAGGTCATGGATATCCGGTTTGAAAAAAAAAACACAATCATAGGTCAATAAATATAATGCAAACTCTAATGGCAATTTGCCCAAAGGAAAGGATTGGATATTGGCTTTGTATATCCACTAATTCTGAATTTATATCCATTATTTTTTAAAAAAAAACAGAGGATGAGATCGAGAGGAGAGAACACATACCGGGTAAGAGTAGTAGTGTCCGCCCCCATATCCGACCGTTTAAACAAAGACAGCGACTCGCTGGTCTTGACGGACGGGTAAAGCTCGTCGTCGATCGGCCTCAGCTCCACCGACGACACGAACGGCGTGCCGCCGCCGACGTTCACCAGGCACGCCGGCGCCCACCTCGCCCACCCCATGAACACCACCTCGTACATCCGGCTAATCCCGCCGGTCTGCACAACCACGTCGTCCACGGTGGCCCAGCGTTGCGCACCGAGATGCAGATCGAACCGCAGCGACGACGCCGACGACGACGAGCTGTTCTCGCCGTCGTAGTTGCCGTACAGGAACCCCAGCCGGACCAGGTACTTGGTCCCGGCGACGGTGGGGAGCGCGTAGCAGTTGCGCGGGCCGGAGGGGAAGCTCCGGAGCGTCTGGAGGAGGTAGCTGTCGGCGGCGGTGGCCGTGGCAGTGGCGGAGATCCGGTGATTCTCCCCTGCGCCGGCGTCGATGTACGGCTCGTCGGAGACGTAGACGATGCCGGTCTTGGGGTCCTTGTAGTCGCTGTAGTTGGCCTCCCTGCCGCAGTCGATGCTCACAAAACCTACACATGAAGAAACTGAAGAGTGAGCAATGTTTAAGCACAATTTCACAGGATCAGATGTTACAAGTCATGAATGTATGGATCGATGCTACTGATCGGTACATAGGCTGAAACCGACAAAGAAGAGAGAAAAAGAAAGCGAAACCTGACTGGCCGCCGATCCCATCGTCAGCCGCTGCTTCGGATAGTGAGGCTAACATGAGTGCAGCGAAGAGGAGCATGGGTGCCATTGCAACCGGTGGAATGGCTAGCTAAGCTAAGCTAGCTAGCTACATCTCCGTGTGTCATGTCTACCTATATAGCAAACTTGCAAATGTGTAATGATAGCTACGTTCTATGTACGTTACGCATTATAAAATATTTTGAGTTTTGAATAGATCCTTGCACGTGCTTTATTATATATATGTCCAAATTCATATGTATGTTAGTAAATCTAGACGAGTAATGAAGAGATCAAAACATCTTATAATGTGGATGGAGGGAGTACATGATATGGTAAATGTTTTCACTGGGATGATGACCGACATAGTGACGACAACTTGTATGGCACGAGAGTTCAGTAGACTATAGATAGATGAAACTTATCTCTATAAATGAATTCAGGGCTCGTTCTTGGGCGCACGGAGAGGCCCACCACGTGGCACGACCCGATTCCAGTGTTTGGTCCCTTGCATGCAGCTGTTGTATCACACATCGATGGTGAGTGATCACTAGTGTGTGGATCTTTTTGTAACATACGAAGTTTGAAGGGTTTTTCTACAGAAGTGCTCAATCTCTTCTTCCCTTCCCTTGGCACCGCCTGGTTTCTCTTCTTCCCAGCCATATTGCTGCCACGAACCTCCACCTGTCCCGCCTTGATCTCCTCCTCGCCGCACCGCCACCCCCCCAATCCCCTCCACCTCAACTCGGTGCGGCTGTGCGGGCTCCTCGGCGCATCATTGGTGAGGAGGCATGGTAAAGGGCTAAAGGCTGAGGCTCTCTAGAGGTCGGATCCAACAACCACACCTATGTGTCGAATATGTCTATAAAGTTGGTTACAATTTACAACTTAGAGTTGTACTGGGTGTTAGAAAGTATAATTACTCTTATTCTAGACACTCTCTTAAATGGAGGCACGTCCATTGTTAGCAGGGAACTACAAATCGGATACTCAATTCCCTCCGAAAAATCAGGCGGTCAAATGTTTCAGTTGACCATCAGGTGAAACATTAAGTTATACATAGTGAAATAAAAACAATTAGCAATTGAAACATAAAAGAATTTATAGAACACAGTGAAAATACATGTTGAAACATGCCGCTTTCACGTATGAAATAATGAGTTTTAACAGTTTGAAACATATATATTTCTTTTTACCACAATATAGTCATGTGATATTACTACGAATACAATGGTGTGATCGGATCGTAGATCCGATAAGTAGTTTATGAGTTATTTTGAAGTTCACGATATGCATGCATGGATGGATGAAGTAGGGAGAGAGAGCAAGTAGTATGTCAGGAGAGAGAGAGAGAGTATGGACAGTTAGTTGCTTAAAGTTTGTGAAACACAGTGAAAACACACGCTAAAACATGTCACTATAGTATATGAAATGCTGATAACGGTTTGAAACATATCTTTTTCTTTCATCTGAATATAATCATTTGATTTCTTGTTTGAAAGATTTAATTAGAACGAATACAACAGTGTGATCATAGCGTAGATTGGACAATTAGTTTATGAGAAAAAAATATTAAAAATAATAATAAAGTAGTCCAAGGAATAGAAATAAAGGAAGAAGCTCATGAACAGTATGGCCACATGTAGTGGGATGCAGTGCGAGGGAGCCCGATCGTTCGAGCGTCCGATGGGAAGTAATTTCCCTATTGTTAATGCATGGCACCTGTAGTATAGGTAAGGAGGCTAGTTGGCGCCCTAACTGGATGAGTGTCAAAGATACCCTTATACGTTGTAACTGTGTTGCGCACCAGAAGTACCCGTAATTAGTTTCCTCGAGAAGTGGGCTATGACTAAACACTATTATCAAATATCATGTCTCCGTGTCATCGTCAAATCCATAAATTAAATTGAGTCGGATGGATCACGGAAACTTTGTGTTGAACCACGGTGACATAGGAGGTTATTGACTGCACGTGATGCTCCGGCAAGGTCGGGACTACGCCGGTCACGTGTACGAGGCCGAGTCAAGCAACAAGGACAGGGATGCGACTCCGATTAATTTTGGCTCGAGATCGGACGCAACCGTCCCCAATGGAATCAGCACGAAATTAAGGTTATCCACGGGATTGCATGAATCAAAAGCTTGCAATATTGCAAATCACGACCAAATTGGGCGAGAAAATGTTCGGTTTTCTCGTGGCTTTCGTGGGTGGCGTTTATTTGCGGGCGACGAACTTCGGGCTCTTGGAGGCTGATCGAGTCAATGTGGTTGTTGACCAAGGTGCCTAGGCTGCATGCAAATTGTTCTGATGATGGTGTTGGATGGTTATTAGTAGGTGATTAGTGCTTGTCAATCAATATATGTGGATCCACATGCATGCACAGGAGGAGACGCATGATTATCCATGGATTCACATTGTGCTATTGTCTAGTGTGGGGCCATATGATGGAGATATATGTAAACTTTCGTCACTGAAATGAAAAAATAAGTGCTATGATGGTAATTTCTTTGAGTGATTCAAAACAACGGTGAATTTCTAGAAATACTACAAGCTCAGTCTAAGGACGATGTGAAAATCGTGCACGTTGGCTTTGTTAATTCGGTTTATAAGACGACAAAGAAGAAATCGTTCTTATTCATAAAGTTCGGTGAGTTCGATTTATCTATTTGGTGATGATGTATATGGTCATGGATTAGATCATATGAAATTTAAATCAGAAAATAGGAAGTGAACATATATGTTCTTGGAGGACTCAAATATGTGCCGATTAAGGAGCGATTCAATTTTTCTTAGCAAGATGTCTCAAATCAAATTTTAAACGAAAGATAGGAAGTGACATGATTAACCGTTCGATCGTCCGACCCATCCAACCTTCGTTTCCTAGAGAGAGAAGTTTCTTTGAGAACTTGTACTTGGTGATTACAATTTTATTTCAAACTTTGGAAATTTCAGAACCCCAGCAAGTCATCATCTCAATCGAAATGTTTGGGTTTTTTCAATTTTTTGTTGAATTTAGTCAAAGTCTAATAAGTGCTGGAAATCACGGTCTAATAAGTTTTTTCAATCGAAATTTGTTAAAATTACAAAAAAAAAGGTCTAATAAGTGCTGGAAATCACGGAATTTCGTAAATCGAAAGTACAAACCCTGCTTGTACTACAACTCCATATATTGATCTGCCAAGGGTCTTCAATCTCCTGCACCATTCTCACTAGCATTATTTTTTTCACAAACGCACAAAATAATTGCACGTCAATAACATCAGCATTATCTATCTCTAGGATCAGCCGAGACACATCACTACCTTCCTTGGCTAGTTCAATCGCCATCTTGCACGCTATTAGCTCGGCAAAAGGTACAAGCATCCCCAGTTGACGGTAGAAATTGTCGTGCTCCACTGATTTCACCCATTTGTGAAATCTCACAGTACCACACCAACTACACCTTACCTGTTCAAAACAATAAATGCCCGATTTGCATTAGCATTTCACCCATCCAACCGGGGGCTTCTTTCATGTGTACGTATTGTCTGAAATATGACAAATGTGAGTCTAACATATGGTTGTCCATGTTGGTGAGTTTTTTTTTTATGCAACTAGACCATCCTATATATGTTTTGCCAATAATGATTATATATAGCTTTGTTGTTAGAAAGATTTTACTCTTCCTATGATAGCTCAGCCAGTATCTTGACCAAGCTAATCCAATCATGTAGCAATCAGCCAATCACCATCTTGTCTCGAATTGCTCTTTGTCCACATGTTATTTCCTGTACGCTGTTTACGAAGAAATCCGTTGATATTAATTCTTGTCTTACCTAGGATGTACGTATATACTGAATAGTCTACAGGACAGGGTAGAAATCACGGGTAACTTGAGCACGTGATCAATATAATAAATGAGACATTATTTTTAGATTGACAATTCTCTGATTTGGCAGATAAGATCGGTGACAGAAGCAAAGGGGATGTAGATTCTGATTCCCCATGATACCATCTCTACAAGGGATATAGAGTTTGTCATTATTAATCGATATACGGGGATTTGGCTGATATATTATACATTCTCATCAAGTTCTACATGGCTTTCTATTTGATTTTTCGCAAGGGTTGTAACTAAAATTACACTAGCTATGACTATTCGTGTTAGGTTGTTAAGACAAATCCAAAAGGACTTTTTTTTAACCATTAACTACTAGAGGGACTTGCAAAATACAATGCATGAAGATCTGCGAATCATGAAGGATATGAGAATGGATACATACAAGTTTCTCCATCTCATGGACAAGAATCCTTCCAAGTAGACATGCCAATGGGCTGGATTGAAGTAGGTCCAATGGACTGGTTTCACCTCTCGATGTGCTTTGGATGGATGGAATTGGACTGAGGATCAGAGTTTAATGGGCTGGACTGGTTTGGGTGGAGGTGGAAACGGTTTGGACTAGTTTGGTTTTTGGTTTCTGATTTTTATCCAAATTGATCCAGCCCATGGATTTTTTTTACGCGCCAGCTTGTCGAGTACTGTCCAAACCTTCAGTGTGCCATGGTGCCCAGATTCTTGAGATTTGGGTGTGCCTGCAGCCTGCCCCCTTCTCAACCTCTATGCTCTCATTGATCCCTGAGCCGCGTCTGGCCTGAATTAGGCAGAAATTGGACTGCTGGGCATGCTACAAATTACACTCAGCAACATTAGAAGACTTAGATGGACATCAAAGAAAAAAAATATCTTTTCCTAAAATTTCTGGATGTAAAATTACTGCAAATATAGGTGAAGAGGATCGTGATAGCAACTGATTATAAGAGATTACTTGGTTCACAAAATCTTAAATATAGTCAGTGCTATTTAAGGAAATGAATTACACACGAATTAAATATGTACTAATCAATAGACAGATGGTGGAACACTGGAACCGACTAGGAAGGCCAACCAATCAACCAACCAACCAATAAGAACAGTAAATCCCATCTTACTATAAAGTTATCTCCACTAACTTCTTAAGCTTAACATGCAAATATGCCACATTATCATCCACTAACAAGATGTTACATCATCATCCACTAATCCACTAATTAACAAGATGCCACATCATCATCTACTAACAATCATCACATTTAAACATAATGCAAACAT